ACTGATCTCTGCTGATTACTGAGCGTTGCTTGGAGGAAGGTTATTGTTTTATCGAAATTTTATAAATACACGCACTAGTTCACATCTGAGTTCATTGCGAATCACAAAATAAAACAAATACTTCCTGTTGATGAAATTAGTCTCGTTTGCAGTGCATCACCTTGTTGAAGTCGTTCCTAATGCATCTTCAATAGTCAATTAAGAGATTTCATTCACAATCAGTGTACGAAATAACTGTTTACATGTGAGTTTTAACTTGTTATACTCTTCCATAATTCCATCGCATTGTTGATCTTCGAAGATACAACGAAACTACTGCTTACGTTTGTGTTCGTCAGTGTACGCGATTCCCGGTGAGGAGCTGTTCCGAATATTACGGTTGGAATTCCCTTCCGGATGAACCATTCTCATTCACTGAAGTGCCTCCTCCCCCTTCTGGCATCCTACCAGCCGAAAATTTGCTATCTGATAAACACTATTTATATGAATTTGAGTGCCTTATCAGGGAATCAATATATTCACTTATCTTCTTCAGATAATCTCATTCATGTTACATCAAGTGTTCATTTATTTATTCAATCGTTACCACAAGCACCGAATAGATTGCTTCTGTTGCNCCGAATAGATTGCTTCTGTTGCTCGTTTGCATAGTAGCACTGACCAATAGAGCGAGCACACACACACAGACGAATCGAGGCACGCACCGACGGCTATATGAAATCCTTTTATGACAGACACATCGCTATGCTGATGATATTTTTATTGGCATTATTCATCGGTTCATTCATCAACTTATGCTCAGCTTAAGCTTATCTTGCTTCGTCATCATAACTACTTTACAAATGCTCATTTAATCAGCCAGTCTGTTAGTCAAGTCAAAACCGCTGTCTCGTCGTACATACAATATATCTCGTTGAAGTTCTCTTTTGTTCATTGTTCTCCTTCGTCCATCCAGCCAACCAGCCACTCTATCATCAGTCCAATATCCATCCATCCATCGAATAAGCATCAGTTCTTTATGTTAGTTGCGAACTGCATTTACATACGACGACCGACCACCACGTATGTACAACGTATGCTGAATTTGTTGAGGTGATGGTGTTGAGCTGATTGTGAGCTCGTTTTGAGCACGTACTCGTGTGTTGTGCACTTATCCATCGGATGGATGATGCACTTCAGAGAAAGATTCGGATTTGAGGTGGTTAGAAGGAGATGTTTGCAAGTGTTCGTTTGCTGAGAAAGGCGAGACGAGTGCGATTCGGCGTTGGTGAATATCTGATGAGAATGCGCTCTTTTTTGCCATCGTTCCGAAAGCGCAACGAAGAAACATTATTTACGTTTCTTTTTCTGATTTAGTCATCACACTCAATATTGTTAGATCGCTGAATTGTGTTGGATAATATGAATATGTTTGTTGGAGAAGTGTGATTTGCAGTTTGAGTGATTGTTTGAGTTTATAATACCTTGTTTGTGTTTATCGTTATGGAATCGCTTCAAATGAGACATACATAACAGCAGCAGCAGCAACGCAGTATGATTTTCGGATTAATTAGATCCATTTATGATCAGTCATCTATTTATCGAGCATTCTAAAGTAAATATTATTCATCTTATGTTAATGTTAGGTGTTGCTCATGCAGTGCACACGAACAACATCCACATGCAAAACATGTTTTTTTTTCGTTCAGTGTTTTAATGAACACTACTGCTATTAACTATTGTAATGATCGTTCATAGAATAATTGTGCTCTGCGTTTTGTGCCGTTAATGTTGTAGTTTTCAATTTGGTTAGAGCACGCAATTTGGAATTAAGTGAAGTGACTTTGGAGTGTAAGGTGAATAATTAGACTCTGAGTACATTCGCTTATAACTGAATATTTACTCGGTCATATTG